GTTAGGTAACTTTGTTTTTATTTTTAAATTAACATGGAAATAAAGATAAATAACGTTGTCTCGTGTCTAAGAGAAAACATAAGAAATACAATATTAACTCAACGATCATTACTAAAGCAAAAATAAATGATACCGTTTATTTGTTTCCATATTAACCTAAAATTGAATAAGATAAAAGTTATGTCACAAAACAACCGATAATTTCTTTTAAAAAAATAAATATTTGGGTATATCTGAAAGGTAACGAAAAATATAAGTGTTTTTATGCAAATAAATAAAATATATGTGTTTTTTTAAATACTAGTAAATAAATGGTTGTAATTTTATACATTTTTTCTTAAAAATAATTATAATTTTAGAGTCTATAGACTTAACTTGTTTTCATTATAGTTTTTGGTTCCTATGGTCTATAATTTTTGTTCAAATACTTTTTTATTTTAACAAGTAAAAAAGTATGTACTACCTCGTGGGTTAAATGAAGTTTGGTTATTGCAAATTAAATGATAATCAAGAATCTCGTGTCATAGATAATTAATTATTAACGTATGAGCCACTGAACCTTGTATACACAAAAATAGTTTATGGTAAAATTAAGATTATAAAGTTATCAAAAAAGAATTGTATAGTTTTTGCGTTTTGCAGTGTTATTACATTCTTGTTTTTCTTGGGTTTTTGTCATAAAAGCCCCCATATTTACATTAAAAAAAAAAAAAAAAAAAAAAAAAAAAAAAAAAGTCGGTTATGCCCAAAATCGATTTTTTTTTGCCACAGATGCCTAACATTTGCCCCTCATGTTTCATTTAATGTTTTTTATCGTTTCCCCTTAATCAACGGGTTACATTCCCATTTGCAACCGGTAACATTGTTAAGCCCGTCTCCTCCGTTTCTCCTCTGTTAACACTCTGTCAACATTGAGACACCTACCACCCTCCCATGCTAGTACTTCTTCAGACATAGGTAATAGGAACTTAAACGTTAAACTCCATTTAGTGAAGCATTCTCATTGTCTGAAGCTAGGGTTTTTCAAGAGGTAAGAAATTACGGTATGATCATGGTTTTTACGAGAAATCATCTCCATTAATTGCATACTTGTCATGATAATGGTTGCGATTGTGCAGGGGTTAGAAATGGGTTCTTCAGACGATGGTTACGATGACCCATTTGCTGGAATTTACGAGCCATTTTCTGGGTTAAATGAGATGGATTTTGAGCTGCACGGGATTTACATGGATCATGAACAACGATATGAGTTTGTATCAAGGCTTGATGAATGTAAGGATCATTTTCTTAACATTCTACTTTGTGTTGCGAACATTAGAAATGCAAGTATGACTGATGAGGTGAAAGATCGAGTGGACCATGATAATGATTTGCAAAATGATGAGAAGGCAGAGGAAGAAGTGACTAACAAATACAGAATACATGATTCAAATGTTAGGTGGGATAAGATGGAACCTAAGTTAGGGGACGTGTTCGAATCACCTTCACAACTGAAATTTTGTGTGACAAACTATGCAGTAAATGGAGGGTACCAAATATACTTTCAAAAGAGTGACAATAGAAGAATTGTTGCAAGATGTGGTAAGAGACATGAAGATAATAAATGCCCTTTTAGACTTTATGCAGCATGGATGTACAATGACAGAACCTTTCAGATTAAAGCAATGAATTCTGAGCATCTTTGTTCTAGAGTGTTTAAATTTGGGTCTATTGTTACCCCGGAATGGATTGGAAGACACTATGTTACTGAGATAGCAAATAAGCCCAAAGTTAAACTTAGGGAGATGATCAGTGACATCAAATAAATATATAGATGAGTGGTATCTATCGGACATGTTAGAAGGGAAAAACAGTGGGCAAAAGAACTGATTGAGGGTAAATTAAATGAACACTATGCAATAATTTGGGATTATGCACAAGAGTTATTGAGATCAAACCATGGGTCTACATGCAAAGTTGGTGTTACTAACAATCTAGATGATAAGAATTATTTTAAAAGGTTTTACGTATGTTTCAAATCTTTAAGTGTTTGCTGGAAAATAGGGTGTAGGAAGGTAATAGGGTTGGATGGATGCTTCCTAAAGGGTCAGGTAAAAGGTGAATTACTCACAACCATAGGTAGAGATGCTAATAACCATGTGTTCCTAATAGCTTGGGATGTTGTTGATGTGGAAAACAAGGATAACTGGACCTGGTTTCTGGAGCTTCTGAAGGATGATCTTGACCTTGGTACTGGTGTAGATTTGGTTGTTATTTCTTATCAACATAAAGTAAGTTCCCTTATAATTATAGTATATTTCAATTTGATTATTTCAATATGGTTATAAATACTAAGATAATATGTTTGTTCACAGGGTTTGCTTGAATCTGTTAAGGTTATTTTGCCACATGTGGAGCACAGGCAATGTGCTAGACACATTTATGCAAATTTTAATAAAGCTTTCTCTAGATTGGAGTTAAAGAATCTGTTATGGGCTTGTGCAATGAGTTGTGTTCAAGGTGACTTCTTGAGAAACATGGAAAAAATAAAGACCATAAGCCCTAGTGCATATGAGTATCTAATGTCAAAAGAACCCAAAACATGGTGCAGAGCTTACATGAGTGTAGGGTTTGCTTGTGAGGCAGTGGAGAATGGTATTTCAGAGTGTTTTAACTCCATAATTGTAGAAGCTAGGAAAAAACCTTTGATTACAATGCTTGAAGAGATAAGGATATACATAATGGATAGGTTTTCCTTTATGAATGATGAATGCAGTAAATGGAAATGTAATATATGTCCAGAGGTGATTAAGAAGATGAATCTTTTTGGAAAGAACTTAGGTAAAATAGAAAATAATTGTTTCTTTTTCTAACTGTCATTATAGTTGTCATATAATGACTAATACATACTCTTTTGTCTTCATTCAGGCTTTGGTTAGTAGCCCATAGCTTAGGAAATGTATATGAAGTGAGAAGAGCATGTGCTAGTTACAAGGAAGATTTGGATGGTAGGGTTTGTTCTTGCAGATTATGGGATTTGTCTGGAATCCCTTGTATCCATGCCATAGCAGCCATTAATTATATCCATCAAACTCCAGATGGATATATTAGTGACTACTTTTCAGTGAATAAATTCAAGGAATTCTACTCAACAAACATCATTCCTGTGATTGGGAGTAATATGTGGCCTCTAACTGGATACAACAAGCCTTTGCCACCTGTTGGTAGGAAAATGACTGGTAGGCCCAGAACCAAAAGAAGGAGGCATGCAAGTGAGAAAGAGAGTAAGTTTAGTTCCACTTCAAGGGTGAAACCCCCAAGGACAGTAAGATGTGCTAATTGTCTTGAGTATGGGCATAATAAAAAAGGCTGCAAGAATAAAAAAAAGATACCAGTTCCTATGCCACCAAAGAAGATTGGGAGGCCTAGGAAATGTGTTGTAGCTGGATCCAATCCACATGTTTCTGTACCCACTCAATCTAGTCAACAAGAAAGTCAACACGGCAGTCAACCACTTATGACATCAACTGTAAGCACTCAACCTAGTCAACATACAAGTCAATGATAGAAGAGGAAGATGACATTATGTTGATAGAAGAAGAAGTAGTTATGGTGCTAGAAGAAGAAGCAGTTGATGTTCCAGTAAAGGTTGCCCAAGATCTAAAACAAAGTCTTGATGAAGTTGCAGATGCAATTGATCAAATTCTTGGTTCTGGAAATGCAACAGATGTTCCATTAGTGAATGAAGGTGGTGCAGAACCTGAATTCATTGAAGGACATGCATCAGATGTTCTCCCATATAAAATCAAGATAAGTGTTGAAGAAATAGCAAATTTACTTGAAGCAGGATATTCCATGGTTGAAATTGAAAGCATGGGGTGGTTGGAAATTGAACTTGATGACACTCCACCAGTTGAGATGGTAATTTATTGACCTTGTAATTTTAAATATATGTTATTTATTAACCTTATTATTTCTTGCATTAGGACTTAAATGAGGATGAGCCTGATGTTCATGAAGGTGAAGCTGACTTTGTAAACGATGGTGATGTGATTGAAGTTGAAGGTGTTGAAAATCAAGATGATGGTGATGTGATTGATGGTGAAGGTGTTAATCATGGGAATGAGGCTACTAGTGATGTTCTAAATAATCAGGTTGCTGATGATGGGAATGTGGTTGATGATGAAGGTCATCTGATAGTGCCTAAGACAAGGAAAAGAAAGCCATCAGAGAGGATCACTAAATTAAAGCTTAAAAATGCAGTTTTTGATAAAGATGGGGGGTGGTTCCACATGTTCAAATCCAGTGAATCTGGAGTAGTTAGTTATGTATATAGGGGATTTAGGTGGGAATGGTATACTTGGGCATTTGCACAGGAATCCCTTTTTGGTACATTTTGTACATCTTAATTTATATACCCACTAAGTGCACCTTTCATCCAGTTGTTCTCATGTACCTTTTGGGTTGCCTTTTTGGGATATATTTTTGGCAATTTGGTACAAATGGATGGATGGTACATGTTATTTGATCTTTTGTAATCTTTTGTATTGGTACATGAATATGATGTAATGAATCCCCTCATTATGGTTATAATATGTTTGTTATGTTTGTTATTTTATACTATGTTTTTTTATCCATACCATTGGCATCTATATTATGTACCATTTATAACTACAGTTAACCAATTTCAGCATTGTACTTTACCATTTAGCAATTTAATGTATATTATGAACCATATGTTTGTTATGTTTACCATTTACATTTCACAGATAATTTGAATTTTACCATTACAGACATTTCATCATGGCAAAGCCCAATTGTTGTATGAACTCTAAGTAGCTATTCCTACTCAATCTTTCTAGTAAAACTTCCCCTTCTTATCACCGTGTAATAATACAAAAAGTTGTAATGAAAGAATGCAAAAGTTTACATGGAAAATGTACATTTTTTCTGATTTCAACTTTTTAGTTTACAACCAGGGAAAAAGATGCATACATCTGATCCGATCTGATCTAAATCCTTCATTTGTTGTGAATAACTGATCTGGTAGTAAGAGATGATCTCATGTCAACAATGGCAGATTCATCAGCACCCAAATTGATAGCTTCTTTGCTAGCAGTTATGAATCTTGAAACTGCACCTTTTACATACGTATAAGCTTCTTTCACTTTCATTTTCTTGCTCATTTCATCTGGAAAACTACTCAAGAAATGATCACCATTAAGAACAACAGCAAAAGAATATAAAGTCACAACATTCTACCATTCCAAAACAACAGTTACTAGCCAACTTCAGCATTGTACATCCATTTGAAACTAAAATCAATCTAAACATTCTACCAAAAGCCAAGCCGACCCAAACATTCTACCAAAAGCCAATCTAAAATGATTTACATCTTCAAAACAACTATTGTCACCATTTCAAAAATAAGAACCAAAAGACCTACAATTATTTCTACCAAAGTCTTCAATTGTCCATGCCCCTGCCCCTGCCCCTGCATATGCTTTGTGTGAGTTGGGTCGATAATGTGGCCATCTTCTTCATTGTACCATTTCAAAAAACCACAGTCCTCTTCTTCCACCTAGAAAAAACAATAATTTGTATTAATTACATACAAATTAGGGCAAATTGTTTCAAGGTTTCTTCATTGTACCATTTCAAGGCTTATCAAGAAATTTACAAATTAGGGAAAATTGTTTACCTTGTAATTAGGGCACCCGTAAAACTTCTTTCCATAGTTCTCAGGTGTTCGAGCAACAGGTACCTTACACACATGAACACAGCCACATCTAACTACGCTTTTCTTTCTCAATGTTGGACCACCTTAGAAGCTTGCTTTGGCAGACGAAGTCGACATTTTACAGATACTTAGGGTAGAAGATGGGGGGAGAGAATAGAAGACAATGGAGGGAAAGATTTTGGATCGATGTTAACGGAAAACGAGTATGTTTGGGGGTTAAAAGGGTGGATGTAACCGGTTGATTAAGGGGAACCGATAAAAAACATTAAATGAAACATGAGGGGCAAATGTTAGGCATCTGTGGCAAAAAAAAATCGATTTTGGGCATAACCGGTTTTTTTATGTAAATATGGGGGCTTTTATGACAAAAACCATTTTTCTTGCCAACAAAGTATCACCATTTTTTGCATACCGAAAATAATTTAATGGATAATAAACTTTGCAGTTGTTGTTGAGTAGAGGGCGGGTCCTTTGGAATGGGGGATTACCACGAAAAAAAGTTTCTAGAATTCTCCCAATCTCCAACAAACTTTCCATTCTCTGTAGACTCCAAGAAAGAGAAACGTACTTTCATTGATTAGTTTATTATTATAGCATCCTACTTTTATTTCTTCATATCACAAAATTGCTAAAAAAATCTATCATATTATATCAATGTCATCCAAATACAAAGCAAATTTATCTCTATAATTTGGTAGATTTTTCAAAGTACAATGTATTAATAAAAAATCGATCTTATCAGACACAAACACATAAAATGACTTGCTATTTCTTACATTATCCCATCAAAATGACAAACCTATGGCTACTACTTCACAGTTTTGCTTGTGTTTTTATTCTTTAATGTCACACCCCCGACCGAGGCGATGGAACATGTTGAGTTGTGTGACTATGTTCATTGACCACAGGTAAACTGAATTTATCAAGTACAACAATCAACAAAACAACATGTGCACTCTATCTTGATGTTTGAATACATGGTTCTTACTTATAATAGTATAGTACATGAATTACCTTAAACAGATAGGCAGACATAACAAAAGCTAGTAAACTAGATTGTCTGAAATCCATCACTATCTGTTGTCTGAATGCTTGATTATCGATTCCCTGAGAAAACATGTAGTTTTGAGGGTCAACACAAGGTTGCTGAGAGTTACAGGTTTTCTGCTAACAACAGTAATGATACTTTTAAAAAGTCTAAAGGTATTTTATTTGTAAATATAACCATACTTCAAACTATATTTGTAAAGAATTTTTGAATAAACTTTGAAAACCAAAATGTATCTTTGCATTAGTAAATCCATACTTAAAATAATTTTGAAAGAAACCAAGGCCATAGTTTGTAGTAAAAGAGAGAGAAAGAGAGAGAGAGAGAGAGAGAGAGAGAGAGAGAGAGAGATTCTAGTTAATGTTTATAGTGAGTCCTATAACTGAGCTATGTGACTGAATATACCCCATACAATGCTTCATTATATGTCATAGTAACGATAGTAGATACTTATCACCCGCTTTGATTGATTGATCGGGGTTCTAGCTAGCAACCGCAGGTGGGGATGTCAGTCTCATATAGATCTATACATACATATCTCGCCCCGAAGATTAACGATTATAGTAATGTAGGTATGCTAAGTGTTTAGACTTAGCTAATGAATATAGTCTCACTAGAAAGCCATTAACTAAGGTGTGTGAATAGCTCTCGACCCTAACTTATAAGTAGATAAGTTACTAGGCATAATGAATTGTATAGATTTCATAAAAGCCAAGTATATCTGGTATGTATATATAGTGTAATGTACTCGCTTTTATAAACATGTATGTCTCAAGAAATATTCATAAGTACATGTATAAACTTTATAAATATACATGCATGGTAATAGTTTGAATCCTTGAAATACTACAAAGTTTTATAACATGCTTTTTATGACATACAACGTCATATAAAATCATAGGGTATTGTAGTAAAATCGAATATGTTATTTTTATCAGTTGTATTATTTTAACAACATAACATATGTAAATATCGAGGTTTAAAACTAGTTTATGTGTTCATAACATATATATGTCAAACCAACATTGTATATTAATATTTTATGTGTGTTTTTGCATAAACTGTTGGATTAGTGTCTAAGTCCATAACTATTTTGGTATGTACTTGACCCGATGGTGCATGGTCCTTTTGGGTTGCCTTCACCAAAGCAACTTGATTGGAGAAATAAATAAAGAGAGAGAGGTTATTATGATTTATTAATATGTTATAAGAATAATATATTAAAGGATAAATCATATTTGTTTAATTAATATTGGTCAATAATTAATTAGGAATTAATTTTGTGATCAAGTGTAACTAATTAAACTAGAGGGGCAGATTTGTAATTATGTGATAGTTACAAAATAAGGTAAGGATTATCTTAAATATATGGTGAACGAATTTGAGGTGATAAGGCCTTAGAATTCGACTATGATAAGGATTCAAGGATTATCTTATGGGTTGCTTTGTGGATAAGCAACTAGATAAGGATAATGACTGAAACCCTATCTCTACACCTATATAAACACCCCTTGGCTCATGAATTTGTGTATCCCTTCCCAAGGAGTCCTAAGGACAAATTCTAACCTCTCTCCTCTCTCTTTATACCTTCTCCATTTGCTCTTGGTGTTTGTAAGCCATTAGAGGAGTGACACTTGTGACTCTAAGCATTCCAAAGTCAAATCAAGGAGGAATTGGGATTGTTATTGTTACATAACAATCAAGGTAACACCTTAAACCTAATTATATGCTAATGTCGATTTCCATATGCTAGAATTAGGGTTTATAGTCTTGGATTCAAAGCATGTACAATAGAGAAACCTAGATCCAAGCATTAGGGTTTGTATGAGCACATAGGATGTCTTATGACCAAAACCCATCATAAACTAGCATAGGTAAGCACATGTATCCCCCCCCCCCCAAGCATATAGAAACATAAAACAAGGGTCGTAACACTCATTTTAATTTTTGATTGTCAGTTTATTTCGAGAAACTTGACGAGAGAAACCACAAATTGACGCTTCTAAAACGAACAACTGAGACTACTTTTGTTACCTATTTAACTAAAGGAAAGGTTTTAGGTATTTTACACAAACCAAAGAGGGGCCATTTTGAAATATTAATCATGAGAGTGGTAGTTTTTGGACTAAATGGAAATCAATGTTTTGAGGTGGGACTCATTTTGTTAGGAAATTCCAAGGGAGGGGCTAAAGTGTTTATTTTAATTCAAAATTTTGAGATTGGAACTAGTTTGGTAATAGGTTCCAAGGGGGAGGGGGATAAAGTAATTAAATCGAAATAAAGTTTGGGACTTTGACTTATTTTGTCAAGGATTTTCCATAGAAGGTGGTTTTTAATTAAATAAAATTCGAGTTTTAGGAGGGTGTCCTCCTCCTCCTGTTTTGATCACATGCACGTAATACACCAACAAAAAGATCTTTGGTCATGCTTGGTTCATGAACAAAAGAAACGCATAAAAAGAAATGGTGGTGGTTGGAAACTCACAAAGGCAGTAACAAGAGGCGGTGATGGAGATTCAACGATGGTGGGAGGTGGTGAGTGGCTGCCCGACAACCTTTTGGCTACTTTCGTTTCCTTTTTCTGCCTAGCAACGCCGTCGGAGGAAGGAATGTGGATGGTTGAAAGGATGGAGGGTGTTTGGGAGGGCAATTGATCGACCAAAACAGCAAGGGAAATGGTGGTTGGTGGCGGTTTTATGGTGGTGGAAAAGTGGTGTTGTGGTGGTGTTTTCCAAAAGAAATAAGGACAATTGGAGAGGGAGTGTTTGAGTGATGTTGTTGAGGATTTTGTGAGGATTAAAGGAAGCCTTAAGCTTCTATTTATTGTCATGAAGCTCTTACAAGACCGTACTCCATCATATTTTTTAAGTTAGTCAAATGCTTCGCCTAGACCATGCTTTGTACTCTTTGAGACAAGTGTACACTTAGAGAAGGAAATGGGAGGTATGGGGGTTATCCAACGTGGGAAAATGGAAGGGACAAAGAAAAGATGATTTTTCATTTCTAGCAAAGATAGGTGGGCCCTCAATGATGTCACAATTTTGAATAAATGCCTAAAACAATCCTAGTTTGGTAAATCGGGATCCCGACATCGAATAAGTCTTCTGAAAGTGTCATAACATAGAGTCGAGTTCAAGGTTTCCAAAAACCCAAACAGATTAATTTTTAGAGTTGTAGAACTCCGGGAAATCACATTTAATGTTTCACGTCTAAATGACCCGAAACGCTTGATTTTTCGACTTTGACAAATATTTTCACTAAAAATATTTCAAGTATGAACTAAATAATAATCCATTGTCTGAGACTGAAAATGCTCTCGGAATTTCCATCTGAGGTGTGTAAGTGATGGGTTTTATATGTTATAAAAAAGATTTTTTGGTAGAACAACATAAACCCTAAGTTCACATGCACCCTAAAGAATCCATGTTCCCACTATGATTTGCAAGCAACTATTGAATGTCAAGAACCCTAGAACTATATTGTTATTTTCGAAAATACTGAAGGGTTATTAGAAAATACATGCATTATTTTATTATTGCAAATAAACTACTATTCCTTCCTTGTTGGTCTTCAGAAAGCAAGCACCAGAAGTCTCGTGCCTCTACTGGCTCACACCTAAACCCAATCAAATTGGAGACTAAATATGAGAGAGGAGAAGGAAGGGATTTTCGGTTTTTCTTTCTAAAAAAAGGGACGGCTGAAAATCATAACCCCAAGAGTGTTTATATATGTGACTAAGGGATACTATGGGAATGGGTAATTGGGTTAATTGTTTGATGATAAAACTTAATAGCGTTATTATGGTGGGTTGAAAACCGTATGTACTCACCAGGTTTTCCAACCTGAACCACTCAGTTTATATGTATCACATGTGTTGATATGAAGCTACATTACACTGAGAGATTAAAGGAGATGTAAATCACTAGTGTAAATAAATATAAATTAAGTTTATGCTTATGTTTCTGTTTGACGATGACATCCCAAAGTTTTAATATAAACAAAATACATTTCACTGGAAATGTTTTGATAATATATTTATCATGTTTTTCTGGGAACAAATTCCATAGTATTATTCTTTAAATTGAATACTCTGATTTTTAAATAAGCATAAATAAAATGTTTAAAATGACCGTGAATTTGGGGATGTCACATATCACTACCACCAAGGACTAGAAAGCGAGTTCCCTGAAATTACTGTGAATTTGGGGATGTCACATAAATAAAATTCTGCAATATTGTCTAATGAGCTCTGCCATGAATTCCATGAAAGCGACTAACCATGCTCAAAGCAAAAGAAACATGATGGGGACTACATGTCATTGCATACATGATTGATACTACTTCCAAAGCATAAGGGACTCGACTCATTTCTGCTATCTTTTCATATATACTAGGACTTTGAGTCTTACATAATTTTGGCATTACTCTGAATAGGTAGCTCTTCTTTCCTATAATTCTTCATTCTAAAATGTTTTATTACCATATCCAAGTATGTACGTTGACTAAAACTAATTATTCTTTTCTTTCTATCCCTTAAGATTCTTATCCCGAGAATATACCTCTCCTAGATCCTTTATAGCAAAACATTTTCCAAGCCAAGAGTTAACTTCTTTCAAGGTTGGAATGTCGTTTCCCATATGGAGTATCTCATTAACGTATAATACTATAAATATTACTATACTCCCATTAGCCTTGACATACACACATGAATCATCTTCACTCCTATAGAAACCAAATTCTTTTACTTTCTCATGGAAGCAAAGATTCCAGCTACGAGACGCTTGTTTCAATACATAAACGGATGTCTCAATCTTACACACCTAATTAGGATACTTTGCATCTACAAAACCCTCTACTTGACTCATGTAAACAAATTCAACTAACTTCCCATTAAGGAAAGCGGTTTTGATGCCCATCTTCCATATTTCATAATCATGAAAGGCAGCTATGGCAAGCATTATCCTGATAAACTTTATCTAGGCTACTGGTGAGAAGGTCTCATCATAATCAATCCCAGGGTTTAAGTAAAACCCTTTGCAACCAGTTGAGCCTTGAAAGTGTGTACATTTCCATCCATTTCAGTCTTCTTCTTGAAGATCCATTAGCAGCCAATTGTCTTTCGGTCAGGTTCTTGATCAACCAAATTCCAAAATCGATTGCCATACATGCAGTTGATCTTGCAATCCATTGCCTCCTTCCACTTGGCAGCCTCAGGGTCTGCCATCACTTCCTTGAAATTATTTGGATCATCCATATTTACTAGTGTTTAATCACTAATAAACGTATCACCATCTGACATTATATGGAAATCATAGAACGTTGGTGACCCATATCCTTAATCATGGAACGAACATTGTCCAGAAGCTTGAATCATCATGGAACAAACATTGTCCAGAAGGTTCGATTATTAAGTTGTGGTGTCATAGGAGGAATCATTTATGAAACAATTCCATATTTCTTAAGATAGTCATGGAACTTGATACTAAGATACTCTACACCTCTATCAGATCGGAGCATCTTTATCTTCCTGCCTAATTGATTCTCGACTTCATGTTTAACCTCTTTGAACTTTTCAAAAGTCTCTAAATTAGGCTTGATTAAGTAGATATAACCATATCCGCTATAGTCATCATTAAATGTCACATAAAATCGATTAGCATGCCTTGTGGTGGATCTAAAGGGTCAACACACATTTATGTCTATGAGATCCAACAAACCTTCACCACTTTCACAACATCCAGTGAAAGGTGATTTTGTCATCTTCCCCTAAATACAAGATTCACATTCATCATCTAGCCTTAAGTCAGATGATTCAACACTCCATCGTTTTAGACTTGGGCGAAGGGTTTCTTGTTAATGTGCCCAAGATGATAATGCCACAATCATGACTTCTATAAACCATTATACGAATCATTATGAAATACACTATTACCTAAGCTATCAACACAAATCAAAATTTCATACACACTATTACAAGGTAAAGCTTCAAAACCTTTTCTAAATAGTGCATGAAAAAAAAATGTTTTAGGTCATTTCTGACGAATAAAAACATTTACCCAAGTCAAATCTAACATCACTACTAAGCATAAAACTATAAATTCCAATCTTGGTAACAGGATAAAACCGCCTATAACATTTCCTTTTCTTCCCTTTGTTTTCCCAATGGTAAGGACATCAGTACTAGTAGCAGTAGGGTGTGACTTTTCTTCATCCCTGACTATGTTATCTACAATAGGTTGTGGAGTTGGGCTAATGTGGTTTCATTGTTGTTCAAATGATAAGTCATGATGAATTGATCCTAAAAAGTTGGAAAGGAGTTAAGGACCATGTCAGTGGCCAACTCCTCATCGAACTTCGCATTGAGATTTTCAAGGCATTCCACATATCTTTCCATTCTTTGGACGTGGTTGCAGACTAACTCTCCTTCCTTTAACTTTCATGCCATAAGAGCTTTGATGACTTCTTACTTTTATTGAAGAGCTCTATTTAGATACTTTTCAAGAAGATCTAAGTTCATCTCGCATGGCTAATAGTCCTCATACAACCTTTACAACTTAGTAATCATGGTGGCAACCATGATGCAAGCAACCTTAGTCGCATCCTCATAGTGTTTCTTGTAGGAGGCTATTTCTTTAGGAGTAGCAGTGTCTTTATTGATCTCGATAATTTTTTCTTGAATACATGCTCTTTTCCCTCGTATCGAAGAGTCGTCTTGATGTTACACACCCAATCATTTTAGTTGGTGCCATCCAATGTCACCTTGGACACGATCAAGGGAAGGGAGAAGTTGTAGGATGAGTTTTGAGGAGCAGAAGCATCACCATAAGTGGACATCTATAGAGAAAAAGTGGTTTTAGTTAGATGACAATAATCCTTAATATTTAACTCATATTTTTGTATCCTTTACTTACAAAATCATACATGACACTACACTTTATAACATCAAGTTACTTTTGCATTTACGTAATACCAATGTACAACCGACTTGTAAATTACGACTCATATATCTCCATATTGTGAATATAAGATATTATCATCTCAGAATTATTCAGGATATAATCCATGAAGTTATTCTATGAGCGTAGGTTTATACAATACTCAAATATCTATTTTCTAAGTACTCATGAACGTTGTAGCAACACAATTGCTATGTCTAAACTCCTTAGACAATCTACAATCTAATTCATGATAGTCTTCATTCACCACTTACTTCCTAAAGTATGAGCGACTATGGAGCTTTGAATAATCAAATTATTCAGGAAGTAAAGCATGAAAAATGAAACAAAATAATCAATAATTGACAAATGAAATAAACAATACCCATAAATAATATTTATTATTCAATCACCAAAAGTCAATTACATTTATTCGGTTACAAGTTTCAAACTAATCATCTAACTACTAAAACTAATGTCATCTCTCAAACCAATGATCCTACCATGATGACTATGCTTAATCCTACTCAGAGCCTTTGTGAGAGGATCTGTAGGATTATCTTCTGATGAAACGCTCTTCACTATAAATGACCTTCTTCAGTTTTATGTTTGATATAATGGTACTTTCTGTCAATATGTCTTGATTTACCATGATCTCTCGGTTCTTTAGCTAAAGCAACTACTCCTTCATTATCGAAGAAAATATCCATTGGTTCCGAGAACGTACATAAAAAGCAGTGTACAGCCTAGAATTCAAATTTTAGATCGATCAATCGTAGTATATATTAAACCAAGAACATATATTAAAAGAATGTCCAAATCTGGCTTTGCATGAGGAAGTTATGATTTTTCTAAAATTTAGCATAGCAGTGCACAGCCCAGAATTCAAATTTTA